CAAAGGGATGTATAAAAAGTAAAACATAAAATAGATATTTAGCAACTCCCTTATCTGCTCTTGTAATAAGTAATAGCAATCACAAACACCTATACAAATCAATCGGAAGAAACAAATAATCAATAACAAACTGTTTTGCTGTTTTCTGCTTTATTAATTTCAATCCAAGCTAAATCGGTGGCCACATCGAAGTTGTAATAGAATCCAAAAAAGAAATCAAGTGCCACTCACAAATGAAATTATGTGATCAAATTCTTCTTCTGTAAGAAAACCCTCATACAGAAAAGCCTTGCATAAATCAAATCACGAAATAAAAACAAATAAATTGAGCCGGTGATTATGAATTAACGAATAAGCTCAAAGATGCGTACAAATAACTGGGGAAAGTAATTATATCAAACTGACATGGGTTTTCATGAAACCTATTTGACTTTAGATGGATTCATGATGCCGAAGCTGGAGGATCAGGATACAGCTTTGTTTAAATTTTTTTTTCACCAACAGAAACAGGCTATTACAAGTTATAGTCATTTTTTAGCAGGTAAAATTGGATTACAAACCCATAAACTATCAAAAATAAAATAAAAAATAAGAGACCTTTTTAAACATAACCAAAGAGTTTGTAGGGCTGTTATATCATTTCCTTTTTTATTAGAGGTTAAAGTTGATAAAACACGAAATAACAAAAAACTTAAGTTATAGCAAAAATAAAATAGAGTTATAACATAGATTTTGAAGAGATGCTATAAAAAGGGCTCCATAATCTATAGAAATAATTCAAACGGTGACATAGGAAACAAGAGACGATCTAACAAGGGCTCCATAATCCATAGAAATAATTCAAACAGTGATTGATGGCTACCCAGTGCTAATTCCGTGCATGTTCAACGATTTACATGACAATTTGATGACCATATCTGTTCTATTATGGTTAGGTTCCAATTTATTATTACAAGGCCCAGTCAGAGGTGACATCTACCCATGTCCCATATGTCTAATTTTTTGTGCAATAAATCGATAAATATCCAATTGAATGATGTGGGTAAGTAATGACCACACGTCCTACTCCTACCTAGTCCACCCTTGTATATATATACGGATACACATATGCAATTTAATATAGAGAAAAAGTTTGAGGTTTTGGAAAACCAAAATTCCCAATTCTTTTTTCATAAAAGTTTAATTTCTTAAAAAGTTATTGAGAAAAACATCTGCTGCTGCCACACATTTCATTAACTCAAACTCATTTGTGCGTGGACACATTTGTTTTACAGAAACACGGAGGTTATCCGAGGGAAAACACAACCAATTCCACAAGCGAGGTAATCCCTTTTCTTCTATATTTCGATATGTATGAAACACATAGAATCCAAGATGTTTTTTCTTTTTTTCTTTTTTGAAAAAGCAACATTTTATTCTGTCATTTCTGTTTAACTAGTAACGGGACCCATGTTAAAGACGTGGTTCATCCTTTTGGAAATATGACACATTCTTACTTAGTTACTTGCCATAGAAAAAAAAATATCTAGTCACTTGTCATGGAAATAAAAAATAAAATTCGTTAGCTAATTGCTAACTTTTACAATTGAGGGTAAGAGATTTACAGCTAACCCATTGAAAACTCAACTTCATTACATCCTTACTACAATCTAAATCTTCTTTTGTTTGCTTTCCTAAGGAAAGCCCAACTGCGGCAGTTAAATCTGAATCTTAAATTAAGGAATCACAAGGGTGTAAGTGTAAAATAGACAAAATTGAAATTAAAAAAAAAAAAAAATACATGCTTGTTGCTCATCTGGTGCTGCTGTACAAACTCTTGCTTTAACCATAGGCTAGAAAGCATAAATGAGATCTTAAAAAATAAAAATAGAAAAAAATCACAATTGAATCGTTTCAACCTCTTCTGCAAAATTCATGTATGTTAGTTTCAAATTCAGTCTAATAATCCTATGCTAGAAAATATGTGGCTATTTCAAACAAAAAAATCATGATGTAAATGAAAAGAAACCCATAAAATGCCAAATTGATTATTTTCTATAATTCAGACAATCTCAGTCATTTAGGTTTACCCTTTACGGATTCTGTACAGATTCTTTGACATGTAGTGTCGCACATGGGGGTGGGGTGAGGGTCTATTGAGGGCTTTTTGGGAAATTATCCCACTGATCGACATTGATTCAACCTTCGTTCCATTAGTCTGAAAGATGAATTTCTTAGAATTTTGCTTCCTAGGTGTTCATTCATCTCCAAAACATCAAGCAAGAAGCAGGTAATGCTTGAACAAAAGGATGTTAATAATCTAGAAATCAAACTTGCTGAACAATATATAGGCAAATCCATAACATCAAATCATCATCTCTTGACTACATCCCTGAGAGGTTAGCGGAATTCTTAGACCTATTTAGCTGTAACAACATAAAAATATAAATATTCATGGGATACTTTGTCATACCCCAAAGTAAAAGTAGACACACTACATGTGGCGTTCCAAACTAAATACATACGCTCCCTCATCTATAGTATCATTGTAAATTTGATGAAAACTGAATTATATTCAGCTCAGATTCACAGTATGAATAATAGTAAGTTAGATTTACATTATGAATTCTGAAAACTGAGTTATTTATAGTTCAGATTCACAATATGAATAAATTAATTTGTTGATTTTATAAACTAATTTACGAGTAATCAAAAAGTTAAAATATTATAAAATTACAAGAAAATATATTTCGATTCATATGTAATTCACTAAATTAGTTTATGAATGATCAAAGAGTTGAAATAGTAAGTCAGATTCATATTGTGAATGTTAATATTGAAAAAAATAAACAAAACGAAGTGAGTTTTTTTGAGAAAAAAGTTTGTTTTTTATATATCAATATGGACTGTGAGACCACTTTTTTCTAGTGAAGAAGAAGCAATAAGAAGGAAACAACGTTGATAAGAGAGCAAATGGCATACAATTACCAAGGAATCAATTCACTAAAAATTGGCTTTTTGGAAGCAACAAATCAATTTATTAAGGAGCAAATAAAACCAGAATGTGATTCTTTTTCAAAGTTCATAACCTGCTATAAATTATAGGGAAAAAGCCTTAAATAAAACATTAAAAAAAGCAACCCTAAAATTAAAATCGAAAGAGGAAATAAAAAACATGTAGCCACTCAGACACTAAAATAGGTAAAAACATGGCAGTTGGCAAAGGCAATCTTATTCTTAAATCTTACTAGGTCTTCTGTGTTTGGTGTTTGAGTACTTAATTATATATGCTCTCTGTTATAGCAAAAAAGAATGTGTTGATTGTTCATGCTAAACCTAGCACATATAGGAAAAAGGAGAATTTAACAGCAATCTACTCAAAGTGACACTAAAAAAACATTAAAATAAAGAACCTTCCGCATAAACCTTCAAAGTAGGACAAAGTTAAGACCAACATCTAGTCCAATAAGCACCGATGGCCAAATTTATGGTCACCAAAGAAGCATATATAAAGTCCAAGAAGAATTTTAAACAAATTTTTTTGATTTAACACTAATTCTTGACAGAGGGTAAAATGGTCATTTATAGTCACTTATCAATTAATGACAAAAATATAAGAAATGATTTTCATAATTTTTATGTGTAAGAATACAAATATTTAAGCAATATGACTTCCAATATAATTTCACTATAGTAAGCTAGGCCTCAAACATAAGAGGCATCAAATGAAATCCATTTTAGTCGATCTTTTCAAAAAAATGAACATAGTTGTTTAAGTTCACTCACTACTTCCACTCCACCTCCAACTTTCTCTGTCAACAACAAAAAATTAAACAAAATCACCTTTTTTATAGGTTACTTCTTCATTTTTTACTGGTAAAGTAAATTCTTTCTTTTGAAAAAAAAAGCGACACAAATATACAAACATCTGGTGGACAAAAAGAGTTGATAACAAAAGATAAAAATAATCAGCTTCAAAAGAAAACTCTGTTCTATCTTCACCACACAAAAAAAAAAAAACATGCACTTACCTAGCTTTTCACGAAATTTTGAAGATTCATAAGGGCCTTCCATCGAACACCTGGACTGCATTGCTCTACCATATTTTGAAGATTCATAAAAGCCAAAAGAGTCATTTGTGCCATTTTCACGGATTGTAGATAAGTCTCTTTCTATATGGAGAGTAGGTTACTGTTGACTGCAATCACTTTTACCTAAAGGACCATCGTTTTTCCCCATCCTGGAAGAACAAACTGAAAGTTAATAACTTGAGCCATGAGATATTGTAACTATTTTAGGAAACATCATGTGATTCATGTCATAATCTGTTATTTGCATTTAATCGAAGACCTTGTGGACATGAAAAAGAATAACATTAGACGATTCACCAAGACAATTATAGAACACCCCACATATTCGACGGATAAACTTGTGGTATATTTAGTGAATCCCAAGTAAATAAATAATGGACATGAAATCTATGGAAAGGAAGGAGCAGAAAATGAACCAGATAAAGAACATAGCATCTCAAGAACAAAGCTTTTTTTCCCGGTGAGATAAAACATGGGCAACCCTCCTATACTCTCTACAACTGAAGTACGCCTTTTCGAGAAGGTAACGACGGCGTCAGGATGGTGGTGGTAACAGATGCGTAAGTAGGGTTATGGTAACATGAGGTAATTGTGATTTAGGGTTTCTCGATGAAGACGGTTGATTTAGGGTGATTAAGGGTTTTAGCAAGTGATTGTGAGTCTAGGAATAAAAAATATTGTTTAATTCCCAAAGTAATTCCCCAAACGATTCATGAGTAGCTGTATTGGATAATAAGTTGTACATGAGGTAGTAGGTATTGTATCCTTTAAATTTCAAGAAACAGACAA